CATACTCGTTGGATCCGGTATGTGCGTAGTCGTACGTACAGTGTCAACTTTGCCTTGGTTCTTAAGGTACTCCTTGTATTTGTGGTCCACATAGTCCTCATACCTGCCAAAGAGATCCCGGAAACAAGATATAGAGCAGATGTTAGAGGAGAACTCCAGTTATTCTCAGCTAGAGACAATTTGCATGAAAGTAAGTATCATGTATCACATTAAAAATATACACACAAACTAAAGAAATATGCTATCTGTGTTTGTGCAGAAGCACTCGTTTTCCCTAATCATTGCACAATGGAGTAGCAATGGAGTAGCTACAAAAGAATGACATCATCGACCTAAAATGACTCCTGGGAGATCACAAAGCTCCACTTATGACAAATCAGAAGGGCCTCAACTGTGAACCAACCCAGTCACCAAAAGAGCGTCGACTTAATCCTTTGCAGTTACTGTCCCATCGGACGCCAATTCACATATTGGTGGTGTCATCAAACGCTTATTTTATGTGTTTATTATGTCTTCCATTGCACATAAAAAAATGTCATTTAACAGATGCAGTGGAGTAAAAAGTACAATATTTAAGTATAAATGAGCAGGGCACGTAGATACTACTAGTGTTAATGTACGAGGTTGGTACTGCATGGGGGAAAGGAGGAGGAGGGGAGTTTTACAGGTACTCTGGTGAAGGGGAGGCATGGCTCAAAGAAAGCACTCCAACGGAAACCAACAAGATCTTGTTTTACACTTCTCATTTGTTTGAATGGTTTTTGTTTGTTTTCTCTTTACGTCTTAAGCTCCCCTAATCTTATGTCGTAGAGGTGGTTGGCGATGATTCTAACCCAACACTACATTGCATACTTTTGTGTCCATTCCCGAGCTATTCTGTTGTACCTGTGAAAAAACACAAGGAGAAAGAGAGCAGAGGTGTTAGTTGAGCAACGTCAGGATTTTGTTACTTCTTTTACAACCAAACAGAAACTGCTGGGAAACCAGCAACATTTTCAGCTCCATTCATTTCCATGCGCACATCGCTGCTGTGCGATACCTGCAGCGGCAACGATGCCAGTTGGCTGCTCTCTACAAGCGCACATACAGGCCTGAAATGATGAAACTAAAATGTGTTCACGACATCAGGTTTGTTTTTATTTCCTCTTGCCGCTCAGTAACGGAGTTTAAGCACAGATAAACGTTTTGTTTTTTTAACTGCCTGGAAAAGTGATGTTTCCATATTAGGGTGTAACGATTCATTCACTGAATCGAATAATCGATTTATATTCGACGATCCAACTGAATCAATCGGTGCTCCGCAAATCGGCATTCCGGACGACGTATATCGATTACAAATCGATTGAAATGGTACATAATCGATTGTATCGATACTTGGAAACTGCACATTGGATTTAAGCACAAAAACTGTATGGATGTGTGTTTGTTTGTATGTTTTTTAGCACTTTAGACACGTTAAACGTTACTCGATTCAGTCTGCCCGTCTGACGTCATCAGTACGCAGCGGCAGCCGCGCGAAACTCGGAACAACAACAAAACACAGCGTGGAGGAGACGACTGCGACCGCTGCAGCAGGTAACTCCAGACTTGATTTCAAGTCACTGAATCGAATCGTTCTAAATTAACCCAGATCGTCCATGAACCGAATCGGCAACCATGAATCGCGATTCGAATCGTTGTTAAAATGAATCATTACACCCCTATTCCATATTAGTCAACTAGGGAATTACACCGCGAGTCCTGCAGCGACTGGAGCGTGGTCGTGCTGCAGAGTGTACGAGCTGCCAGAAACACGCCCCGTCACTGTCGGCCATCTCAAGAGACTTACTACTTTGACTCGGCTGTATGGCCAAAAATCTCTACCACGGTATCTACTAAGATTCTGCTACTAAGATTCTCACGGTATATCACAGTATCTGTTTTTCGAGTAGAGACATTCACTCATTGACCCCGCAAAGGACAGCTGTTTACCACTGAACAGCTGTTTGTGTGTGGTGTCTTCCGGTGTGTCTTCCTGTTTTTTTCCACCTGCGTTCCCCTGGGTCCTAAGTCGCTAAATGTTAGACAAGTAGCTCCGATCGCTGCATGCAAACAATATATTTTGCTACCAAAGAGCGACAATAGTTGTGCGCGGGTATAACTGTATGTGAAGAATTCACTCCGTATGGACATTTGAAACCGGAATACCTGCGAAGACACACGCTTCACACCATATCCTTGTGTCCTCGGTTGGCTTCCCAACAGGAAGACAACACAGATATTTTACACTTTCAAAATCTTGGGGCCAAATGTTTGATGAGTCCCTTGTGATTGTCTCACACTCTATACTACTAACGGTTGTTGAAAAAGGGGCAATGTAGAGCTACAGCCAGATTGCAACACTGACCTGCATCAGAACCGGCCTGGGCACAAGAAGTGACGTAGTGCACAAGTCCAAATCCATTCAAACAACGCTCAAAACCAAACTTACTTTTCCCTGTCCGTCTTGTAGATGCGGGCGATCTCAGGTACTAAGGGGTCGTCCGGGTTTGGGTCACACAGCAGAGAGCAGATGGACAGGAGGACTAGAATGGACCAGTTAACCAATCAGTACTCAAATAAAAACAGGAATTCTAAGAATTGATGTCAATTTCCTGCAGATGACCCCAGGAGGGGTGAGTGCGTTTGTCTCAGCTATACAACTGTTTATAGTACATATAATATATTTCAAATGAAAAGTCCAGTAGTGAGCACTGCATGGGCAGTAAAAAAAAAAGAAAGAATGAAACCAAATTGTACCTTTGGAGATGGTGAGAGCCGGAGACCACTGTGATCGCAGAATGTCAAGACAAATGCTGCCGTTGCTGTTGATATTTGGGTGGTAGATTCTTGTGGTAAAAGCAACCTGAAAACAGACAAAGGAGGAAGAAATGTAGGGGGTACAAAGGGGGGGATGGGGGCCGCCGCCGCAGGTGAGAGCGACAACAGGAAATTGAATGATGTGAAGCTGAGGCATGTTTTAGCAGGCAAGAGGCACTCGACGTGCATCGCTGTTATGCATGCCGCCTCTTTGTGTGGAGGTCTTGCTTACCTTTGGCGGTTTGAAGGGGTAGTCTGTGGGGAAGTGTATGGTCAAGAAGAAAACCCCGCTCTGGTAAGGACTGTCATTCTAATGCAGGGAGAGAGAAGCTCGATCATCTCATTGCCACACAAGTGCAGCGAGGACACATAAGTTAGCTTAATCATCATGAAGTTCATGAGAGGGAACAAATAATAAGTAAATACATTCTTTCACAGTCAGTGTAAATGTTAGTTCCCAGCAAAAAGCAAGAAGTGGATACTTACGGGTCCCATTATTGTGGCTTGCCAGTGAAACACTGAAACAAAAAACAGAGACTGTTTAGGAAACACCCGACGCATGGCTGAGACGTGTTTGCATAAATAATGAAGCATTAAGTCTAAACTCTAAGTTTATTGTCCTACAGTTGAGGAACTGGCTCTTACAAAGTGCAATTCAGGACAGATATTCTTGAAAAATGTATTTTTAAACTGTAAAAGCCTCATATAATGACAATAGACTCAAATGCCTCATTATGTTTTACACCCAAACGGCTCCTTAAAAAGGAAATCTCTTGACATTAAGTATACTTTGAAAAAAAGGCATGTATATCATAAACTGCATCAACAAATGTAAACCATCAGAATGGGGTTTGGAGGCTTTCAAACCGGACCAACTCAACCCTTCGGTTGAGGTCTGAGGGCCAATGTCACGCTGGAAGTAAACCACAGTAACCGTGTTACAAGAAGCTCTTTCTTGTAGTTTGTAGCGGAGAAGTTTACAGGGAGTGACATGCGAAGAGTGAAGCTGCTGGTGTCACAAGCTACTGCCAACTCCCCAGGTGACACGTTAGATGTTATGAACACCTCTCACTGTGATGCAGCATTACATGTTAAGTGTGCTCTCTTCAGTTAGTTCAACCAATCGATTCCACACAAGCAAAGAGATTCTTTTTATATTAAATCTATTAATGTGTGTAAATTGTTGAATGTTAAAAGCACAATCATCAAGGTCCCTAAGGCTTTCTTTTTATGAGAGGGGAAACTTTAGCCCCTGTGTCGAACTAGGGTTCTAAGACGAACCCTTAGATGGAGTTTAACAGGACAAAAATATGGCCACGCTGTGTGAGTCACATGACAATTTATATCTATCAATTCCAGCAATGTCAACAGATCCAGACCAGCTATCCAACCATGTCTAACACAATACCTTGATGTCATCAATTACAAAATATCTAAAGTGATTAGCATATTAACAACGGACTCAATGTTGATCAGAACTAGACCGGATGTCATGTTGAAACGGCATGTTTTGATTCTGACCTCATCATTGTGCCGACATTCCGCCCGTGGTCATCTGTTTTGCCTTCATGGCTTCTACGTTAATAGGGTATTTATTTATTCCGACAGGAGAGATGTGGACAAAGTACCTACAAAAAGGTTCATCCTTGAATTAGCTACAGTCAAATGGAAAACTAAGTGTGTGCATGTTCACTAGGCTCCACTAATGCCTGTGCGCGTCAGCCCCGTCTAGAATGCCGTGTATGAGTGCGCGTGCTCAGCGGAGTTCTGTCCCGCTGCACAGGACCGTCCACAGTGACAGAACACATAACAAACTGCATTGTATGCACGGGGCACTTGCTCATTAGAGGCAAGCAGCAAAAACGTAGACGGAAACCTGATTGAACAGTCAGGTTATTTGGCCTAATGAAAGACAAACCTCAAAATAACACTTTGTCTAAGCTCAGACTCACACAGTTAATGTTTTGGATATTATTTGTCTTTAATTTCATACATCCTAAATTATATTTTGTTCCTTCATTGAACCTCCAGGATAATGCCGTCCAAGATTAAGAATCTCTATTCGAGGATATTCTGGTTAAAACGGTTTGCAAAAACAAAATATGGTGTTGTGGAACTAGCTGTAGAAATAGATTTTGGCATTGCTTTATTTGATAAATTATACAGTTAAAACAAATACCTGGCCTAGGTAAGACATGGAATTAGACATTAGAAATGGCTTTGCTTATTTTCATTGAATAAGAGATGGTTTCTTGGAAACAATATAGTAACCAGTGTGGTCTTGAAAAACTTTACAGTGTCAATGAAAAAAAGGCCTAATGATTGTATGGAATGCAAGAATTGCAGGAATGTATGTGGTTTCAAAAATATATGTCTATTTATTGACTAAAACACTTAATTTTACTTTACAATATTCCAAAACATGTCGACAGTAAAGTCATCAAAAATATTAAATCAATGTTAAGATCAATGTATACAGTGGAATAGTGGCATTACAATTAATTTACTGAAAAGGTTTCCAAAAAGAAAATATCTGCTGTGTGTAAGAAATGTCTATAATCCTACAAGTTTAACAGAAAAACCTATGAACCTATTGTTGACAGTTGTTACAGGATATATAGAACATATTGTGCAATAATGAAGGAAAATTACAGTCTGCATTTACTCCTACTCTAAAAAAATACTTAAAATGATTGCTAGAGAAGAATCCCTTTTGTATTTGTCCTGAATGGAAAGGTGAAACAGCCATGCAGCAATATAGTTGGGAATATTGTTCTCTCATAGCAGGTATGTCCTGGTTACACTTAAAGAAGAATCTCTGTTCTTTTGAGTAAGTCAAATATTGTGGTCTCATACATAAAAAGCCGGCACATTCACTGATGTTTATGCTTTAAATCATTTGTATTAAACAAGTATTCTAGTGGCAGTCAGCTCCAAACTTAACGCATTAATCATAATAAATCTGGACACAATTCATAGTTACCTAATAGGCAAATTACATAATCCACAAAGTCTGCAATAAATTAAATAATGATAGACTGCATGCCATTTGTAAGTGGTCTGACCATAATATGTATATATTTCTATGGTTTGAAGAGGATACACCAGGAAAATGTTGATTGAACACCACTCACACACAGCAATCAGGTACATATTGGTTTAGATGATGAACTTACTGTCATCTCCTACCGGTCCTGCAGAACACTGGGCTGGTGGGTCCCGTGCCAAGTCATTTAACTCCTGAGACAAAACAGGACAAGTCAGTCAATCGGTTCCTGCACAGCAATTCCACAAACATTAACCTATAATAATCACTGGGAATGACAAGACAAAATAACTCCCAGAAAAAAAAGGATCACCAATAATCTGATTTAGTAATCTAGTTGGCTAAATCCCTGTTTGTAAACCGACCAGAAGGCCAGTGCCGCCGCTACAAGGGCTCATTGCGCTTATGACAAGTCAATAGAAACATTTCCTACTGACACAACAACACTACGGTATTTTATTATGGAGTGACCGCGATTACATAATGGCATTTCTGCAGGTACACCTAGTAGAACATGTGACAGCCAGATCACGACGGTACGTCCACAGACACACTCGGTTAAACAAGCGTTTAAGATCGTTGTGTGTCGTTCAGTGAAACGTCACCGACGCTTGCTAGCTGGGCGACCGGGTTCGACAACAGAACAGGATGTAATACGATAGAAACGTTGTGCTAGCTGGCTAGCCACGTTATGACAGGGCCTAATGTTACCGCGGTGCGAGAGGGGGGGGCAAATTACCAACAACCACAACAACAAAAAAACACGCAGAGAATTCGGATAACGTTAGTTTAATCCAACAAACGGCGTAAGCACGATGTGCTGTCAGCAACATGGCATCAAAGGCGAGCAACGCGTGGGGCCTGTTTTCACCACAACGACACTCCGCTAACATCACTGGCGTTCTCCTGTGTGTTGCTCTTTGTCAAATACAATTAAAACATCAAATAGCATCACAAACACGCCTATTTCGCATGACTACTCGAACTGTCCGATTAAATGATGTGTGTTACGAACACAATTTAGCGTTAAAGCGAAAAACTGGGGTATACGGAAGAGTAAGGTTAGCTTACATCCATCCGTATATAACGTTATATAACAATGCTGGCTGGCACAATGCTACTTACATCCGAACATTAAAGCATAATATGTAAGTTATTATAATAAAATACAAATAAATGGCAAATCGGAGAACAATATAAGCGCGAGAGTCGTGTCGTTAGCGTCACGCTAGCTGTTAGCTGCGTAACTTATCTGTCAAATCAAGGAGCGGGTACAGCGAGCGAAGATAACTGTAATAATTCACATTAGCTAGCGTGACTACTCTGCGGGGAAACAAATGACATACATGAGAACTTACAATATACAGTGTAAACTCCCCCCCATGAACCGTGCAGATGCAGCGTTTAACAGCTAGCGTTAATGTAACGTTATTGAGCTAGCTTGATGAGAAGCTTATCCGAGGCGACGGGAGATAACGCTAGCCAGCGTTAACTAGCATCCTGTTAACAGGAGCCGGCGCCGCTGAACAGACAGCACGTCGACGGCGAACGTGTGTAATGTAACAAAGTACAGCGACCTTGAGGGCTACTTGTAGCCTATAGACTGAGGGTTCAGATAGCCCATTTGTAGAAGCACCGGTGAACACACACAGGCGACGCATTGCTGCTCTCACGGTCGTCACTCGCTATTTAGAGACCGTTAGCTGACTGTTCAGACCGAGTCGGAGTTATTTGGTCAAAATTGTAGCGTTATCATCCGTGTATCAAAGGCAACAGAAAAGCATTAGCTGTGGATCCTCGGATTTAAAACCCTGACGAAACTGCGAAATCCCGGGCCTCGTCGTTCACTTCCTTACCTTGTGAATTCTTTTCAGAGCCATTGTTGTGCTAGCGCTTCTGTCAGGAAAAACGTGCGATTAAAATGGCGATTGATATCACTCTCCGTTGGTATCACTACAACTTATTGATCACTGAGCTCCGTCACTTTACACGCAATGTACCAATCGTTACCAGAAGCGACCACCGATAAAATTTCGAGAAGAAACTGAAAGATAGAAGGGGGTAGAACCGCGGTCCTTCCTCCTACTGCAGCGGCTACCAAATCACTGCGGCCTGTGATCTGCCAGCAGCAACCACGACGACGTTTCCGGAATCAACCCTTCTCAATAAAAGCGCCAACGTTGTGCGCCCGAGCTGCTTAACATCGCGTTGACATAAAATATGTCTCATTATACACACTAACATTAACGTTTCCTTTTTTAACTGCATCGTTTTAAACTAACAAAATACCAGGCCCAGTCGCCACTATTTGAATTATTGATAGTTTTTACTTGCGTAGTTTAAATTGCTAATATATTAAATGGTGAAAAGGGTCCATCACTTTTGCAATGTTTTGTGAACCTAAAGCAATGTCTATTTGCTGACATACTCAATTTGCAAATATATAAAACAGACAGCAGAAGCAAACCCTCACATCCGAGTAGTTGGACCAGATAATATTTGATCAAGTGTTTGACCGCCATATATTATAATAATTGTCTTCTTTTTTTGGAGCTCAATAGATTATTTTTCTTACTTTCGTGTGTATGACGAAAATTAAAAAATATTATACTGCATGAAAATAAAACACAACATATAATACCACTCTTTTATGCTGTAAACCAACCGGCCAATCCGGAAGTTGTTGTTGGATCGCACCTCTTACTGCGCTACTACTCAGAAAGCCTTCCGCCGATGTAAAGGCACTGAAAACTACGGACTTAATGCTACAACAAGTATCCTTGTTGCTTTGTGCAGGCCAGCATGAGTCCACGTTGTCCAGACGCAGCCAACATGTCTACCCAGTAAGCGTTTTGAATACGGTCTATGCTGAGACAGTTTCCCACCATAATAACATACTTGACATATCACACATACAGAGACATCTACAGTGTTAGTCAGTATCTAATTTGCTGACCGTATTCATGTATACACTTTGCTACTTTGCTGACATGTATACACTTGTAGGTGTTCCATTTGGATGGGTTACACCCGGGGTTCGCTCAGCGCGGAGTGATACGGTCGTCAAGACGTGTCATCGCGAGATCTTAGGCTCATGTTAGGCTTTTTCAAGGTTTCGAGCTGAAGTTATTGTGATCTATAGGTCATTATCTGAGCACATCTCCCTGAGGGTGATGCTTTTCCCTGTCTAATAACCACTGGCCGTACAGCTCACCTGCAGCTCTCTCTAACACCGGTGCTGCCAGCATGGTGTGCAGAGAAAACACATACACATAAAGGTGTTTTCTCCCCGATGTCAGACATTAATACATATGTTCCAAATATGGAGGATTTAGAAATACAGATTACACCAATTTTCATTCAAATTGAATGAATAAATAATCGTTAATTCGTGAATTGAGAAAACTCTCGACAAAGGGATTCACTTGCTGATTTCACAACATGTTCTGCAGTCTATATATATATATATTAGCTATATATGTGTATATATATGGCCTCATGTAAGATGGCTGTGAGGATTTAATCCCATACACCCACAGCAGTCAGGGCACCGTTGGCCACCACCTCACGGTTAGTGTTTACCTCCTAGGATATTAGGATATGCCTCCCCTGGCCATCACTGACCCACCACCTAACCTGTCATCTTCAATGGTGATGCAGAACGTTTGCCAATGACGTCAGTCACATGTGGTGATTGTGAAACCTTTTCTCGCCTATGAAGGGAACTGGGCGACAATGGCGAACGTGCCAATTCCGATGTTCTCTGGCAGATGGCGATGGAGATTCACGTTTTTTTCATTTAAGATCCAAGTCAAATTAAAACACCGGAGGTTGATGTTCATAATTATGTGATAAACCAAAGACAGGCATTTTTAAGGATGGGAAATCATAGTTATAGTTTGCATTGAGAAATTGCTCATTCTTCTGTTTTTGCCCTAATGTTGACCTAAATTGTCAAAAACTCAGATAGGGAAAAACCTAATTTCATTGTTATTGATAAATGTTATTCATTTAGAGTTCCTAAATGTTTGCAAAAGTGTAACTGGCATAGTAGGAAATACACAGGCGTAACTAATCTCAAAAACCTTGTCTCTATTCCATTTACAGGTGGACATTTATGTCACACCAGTGACAGGCACATCAACACACAATGGGGCCTTCATGTTACTTATCACACCTGTACTTTTCCTGCTCAGGCAGAACAACTCTGTGCTGTAAAAACAGGCCAGCAATGGTATTGTTGGATTTTGACGCGAATGAAGTAAGACGGAATTTAATTAAACATGCTTAAAGCCTATTTCTTGTTCTTTTGAGTTTGTATCCTAATGGTTGAAATGCACTTATTGTAAGTTGCTTTGGATAAAAGCGTCAGCTAAATGACATGTAATGTAATGTAAAGCCGTTCATGTGGACCAAACTCTAGTTTGTTTTTCATTGCTTGAACACAGTTTTCAAAACTCTACACACTTATCCCATGACGTATCCACAACCTGCACAACACTGTGGATTTACAACACTTTGTTCAAATGCTAAAACACTGCTGTCAAAACTGTGAACCACACATTCAAAACGGAATGTGCCTTTCAAACACTGCTGATTTCAGCTGAAAGGCTGAGCAGAGACTTTAGACCTGTTAGTGAATACACACACACACACACATATACTGTAATATATATATTACAGTATATATAGGTAGAGCTCAGAAAGACTTATTTTGGAAATGGAACAAGGAAGACGGGTTGGTGGAGGGAGACAAAGAAGACAAAGAGCTGTTATTTCAGATGAAATAAGGGCTTCACTTATAAACCATGTGGTGACCCACGGTCTCTCACTGAGAGAGTTGAGGGTGCAACCCGATCTGCAAACATCCACAGTGGCATCTGTGATGCACGTTTTCCATCATACAAACAGGTGAGAGGAGTTTTTCTCTGCCTGGAGGGGGAAAGTGTTTGTTCACCACCCACGTGACCAAATGTCTCTTTTGGAAGCCGGATGTGAGGACACGAGTCCAGAGGACTACCAGGGATGGATGAGGTTGCCAGAAGGTTCTTCCCCAGGTTCATGGCAAGAGAGAACATTAGATGTGATGGTGATGAAAACCTGTGGCCTGATGCTAGAGAGGCAGGATCAGCCCCTCAATTATTTGTTCCCATTACAGTGTGTAGTTTCTACCTTTTTTTTGTCATTACTGTAATTCCGTAAATTACTACAGATTATTGAAGCAAACTGCTAATTTTCATTTACCTTAAAGAAATGTTATGTTCTAAAAGTTTTTAATAAATCATGTGAAAGAATGTCACTTATTTCTTTGAAGAAAATCTTACTTTGTATGAAGTCACTGAAATGGTTCAAAGTGTAAAGATGTTAGTATTTTCAGTATTGGTGTTTGATGCTGGTGTTTTTACTCTCAGTATGTTCTGAGTGACAGTGTGTGTTCTCTCAGTGAGGCTTGTGCACACTGTTTAGCTCCGGTGACTGTTGGTGGTGCAGACTGTAGTTAGAGTTTTGCACATGTGACCCCAGTTGTGCCCACTGACGTTTAGCAATCGGAAAAAACTGTAAATCCTCATGTGTAGATTTGGTTGAATCTATCTAAATCTTTGCTTTAGCAGTAGAAAGAAATTTAATATTTCCATTTATTTACTTCATTTCATCCCATTTGTGTCCTTCAGTCAGATCTGTGTTAAGTGTCTTTTTAGAGAATGGGGCATTTTCAGTATTAATTACAAAATGGAGAGATAACGCAGGCCAGACGCACAATGGGGACCATTTGTTCACGGGTGGCCTCCACATTTTTCTTTTTGATACTCGTAACATGTAAAAATGATCAAATCCTATAGGGCTCTATAGGCAGCTGAGTCCGAGGTTCTGTTGATGCTCACAAAAGGAAACCCCGGCTGGATGCTGGACAACTGCAGAGAGGATCATACAGCTGTCCTAATGTGGTACAGCTATAATTAGCTCCCCCAAAACAATGGCAGTACATCCAATCTGACTCAGAATCCTGACCGTTGTACGTCCTCAGATGCAAACATGAGCGGTTGTTTGTGGCCACCCTCTGGCCAGGCTTCACATTTTTTTTGTCTGCAACAAATGGTTGTTCACTTGCTTACTGAAAATAACAGCCTCACAACAAGCTTAAGTAAACACTGTTAACAATGTGTGTGTCTATTTAGAAGCCCAATCCATTTGCATTATTGTTCAAATATGTTTTCCACATATGTTTTGTATTGATCTGTATCTATCCCTCAGATGACTGCATTATTGAGAATAATGATACATAAGAATACATTATTGGTTCCTACATAAGCTTCATTTCTTTCTATTTGGCTCTTGTACAAATAAAACGCTATACGTGATCTAGCTGTTCGACACGCACAAGCACGCTCCAAGTGTTTGTAATACCTCCACCGGATGGCACTACACGTCTGAGTGTGTCTTCTTTAAACGGGCGTGCGCCCCCGCGGCGTGTGCATCATCCTGCGCGGGAGTTCCTTTTTTCGGGGTGTTGCCAGCCGCACGGCGTCCTGGAGGGGTAGAGCCGGCATGCTCTTTGACCTGTGACCTCCAGAGTACACCCCCCCCCCCCCTCTCAGCACACAAACACACACCTAAACCCCAACTCAAGTAACAACAAAATGTGGTGAGAGAATGCCAAGAGAGGTAGAGAGGTGTGTGCTTGTCCCCGCGGCAGCAGGCTTCCCCCCCGCCGAGAGATGCCACGGTGAGAGAACGAGCAAGGTGATGTTCTCGGCCCTTGTCAGAAAAGCAAGACATTAGGAATAGAGAACCCCACGCCCCCTTTATCTTCTCAGTAATCGTTTTTCCCGGTCCCGGTAATCCAGGATGTCCGACTTGAAGGCAAGTCCTTTCGACAGGGTGATCCAATGTATGCATGGAAGACCCTGCACGGCCAGGGAGAGCTCCATCTAGACTATTTGTTTCATTTGGTTAGGTTTGCATCTTTGCGTTACGTTGCACTGGTGTCTCTTATTTTGGTCGGTTTTGTATTGAGTTCATCCGTTTTGTAGTATTTGTGTAGCGTCATACTAAAATGGGCCAATTTTGGCTCTCAGGTCGCAATGCATATGGAGCTTTTGGGGGATTGGAGGCGGTGATGAATAGGAATGGGGGGTGGGTGGGGGGGATTGGCAATGCCTCATGCCACGACAAGGGTCTTCCCTAATTATTAATATGGGGAGCTACCTCATTATACTTCCTCTATGTATAACCAAAGCCATTATGTGCGACACCCTCTGTATTACCGCATGAGCGTCGTTTACGTTGCACCCCTAGCGGTGGTTTCGTGTTACTGAATAATACCCGACAGAGACACACAGCCGACAGAGCAATAGAGGGAGGAAAGAGCTGGGAGGGAGAGAGGGAGACGAGCATCTTGTTCCAATGAAACACCAAGCAGTGTGACGATGACAGCGAAAGGCAGACATAAAGGTAAATGAACGTTACGCATAACCTGCGCTCTTCGGTGTTGTGGTGCCGCTGTGGACGGGGACGGTGACACGGGACCGCGCTGCATGTAAGCGTCGATGTAAGGAGGGAGAGAAGGGGGAGAAATAGAGAGGGAGATGCTACAGGGACTTGTCACTCGCGGACTCGTTGCTTTTTGCATGTGTGTGTGTGTGTGTGTGTGTGTGTGTGTGTGTGTAGGTATCTGTCTTTGTCTTCATTTACAGTATCTGCAGCTGTACGTCGTAGTAGCGCGTAGTGTTGGATGCAAGGACCACCTCTTAGTAGAGGCGGGTTCCGGGGGATCGGGGGGTCCGGGCTTAATTTTGTAACCCAATTTGAGTCAGATAATCGAATTATTTCAAGGGCGGGTGGCCTGAGAACTTTGCAAAGCTGAGCGCGCACTCGGGACCCAATGACTTTGCCTCTGACTGCTTATTAGATGGAATCAGCCAGATGTTCGCTGATGTAGCGTTTTAAAAAAAGGAAAGGGAAATAAAACCCCAGTGCACAGAACGGATTTACCAGTGGTTTTGAGTCGACGTGTTCTCACTACGGCCTAAATATCAGCGGCCAATTGCGCTTTAACCCCGCGCCTCGCTGCTGCACGTCTGTCCCCGAGGTCTCCCTGGCTTCCCCCCTTTCGTGACAAAATTGAGTTTTTGGAGATGATGGGCAGCGCATCCAAGCCCTTTTACCAGACGATTTTTATGCATACCGCCTCGATGGTGTCATGGCATCAGTGAAATATGGAATATTTAATGTGTTTATGAAAGCGTCTGTTTACGCGTGGGCGTCCATTTATAAATAAATAAATATATATATACAGGGGAGGCTCGAGTTATTGTCCCCGGAGCTTGCACGGATTGTCGTGCTTATCGGGTCACAACGACGAGGCCGCTGGCTGGCTCCCCTTAACAAACTCGCACGGTCTCTCCACCGGAAGAAGCGGAGCTGACACTTTGATGCGTCGCTCGGGCATGCCCCGGTATTCCGTGCTTGCGTCGGGGGGGGGGGCTCTTGCAGTTTCTGCACGTAGGACCCCAGGTCTGCATGCAGTTGCATAGGGGGGGGTAGGCCAAGTCATGATTCACAAAAAAATGAACACAATAAACAAAGTGCAAGCAAATTATCACCGACCCCCAAACCGTTGATCAGTTATCTGTCTTTACCCCCAAATCCCCCTCGCGTGTGTATTTTCACATCTTGTAATATCTTTGGGCTACTGGGGTTCAGCTGCCTCAACATTGGAACAAACTAAACGGTCAACACTCATGCATCATCCATCACCCCCCCACACACACATGACCCTTCTATAGCAAATGCGCAGCTAAACAGCCATTCATCAGTCAGGTGAGAATGATTTAGTGAGCTGGCTGGGGACGGGACGGCATCGGTCAACGAGACATCACTCGGGGCGGATGGACTGTGGCCGGGTAGTTCCCCATGTTATGGATTTTATTGGTATTCCGTAGAGGAGTGCACAGCAACGGTGCCAACAGGACAAGGCAATGAGAGGAGTGGACAGAGAGGCAGATAGTGTGGGGGCGAGGTGAGGGAGAGAGGGAAGGAGAGCATGTGACAAGGCCTTGGAGGAGGTGAAGATCAGCGAGAAAAAGAGGAGCGGAAGGAATGGAGGATAAGACGATGAGAGAGGGTGAGAGAGAGAGAGAGAGAATGACAAGGGTAGCATGTTACAGTGTTTCACAGTGCTGGTGGCAGGACAGCATCCTCTGACTTAACCAATGGACCTCTCATGCAAACCCCCCTGTGTGTGTGTGTGTGTGTGTGTGTGTGTGTGTGTGTGTGTGTGTGTGTGTGCCAATAAGTGACGGAGGCAAACTGTGAGAATGACACTCTTTCGGAAAAGTTGAGTTCCTTAACTTTAAAATAGTCTCCGCCATACACTGCCTTTACTGTTCATAATACATGATATTTAGTGGAATACAATACATTTTAAAAGAGACATGAGGACGACCTTGTACCCTTGAGTCAACCACAAGAAAACTTGTGTGTGTAAAATATGGACTTGATGTTATCTGCTAGTAGGGTCGGGCTGCCATCGGTGATGCAGTGAATACAAACTCATACATACAATACAAGTCCTTACTTCTGACAGTGTCTAACCGGGAAATGCTAATGGCGGATTCTGAAACATGTCGCATGAAGCACAGGCGTCAGTGATGACTATATTACAAATATCTGCCAGTTTCATGTTTGCATTGTAGCGGACTGTCATGGCCTGAAATGGCAGAGCTCAGCGCAGACTCACTGTGGAAAAGCTGGATTGGAATCTTAGTCTATAGGAATTGTGCGATCATTCGAGCCATGAAAAGCTCTATCAGATAAAAACACCAAGCATTTCGTTGTCACAGCCTCGTCTTTGTAAATGTAATACCCAACAAGAAGCAATTTGGAGATATCCCTTTTGGGTTTGGGTAACTAATGATGGACGTCTGTGGTCATCTTTTTTTAGGCGTTTTCCACCAAGACACACATGCGTCAGAAGATGCAACTAGTTGACGCAGAAATACAATTGTACTGCATGAGAATAAATATACTTGAACAGATTGCAGTCCTACTCATGGTGAATAATGTGCTGTGTCAAGCACAGGTGTGAGGGATAACATTCATCATGGCTGTGCGCAATTCTGCCGCTGCACTGTGGGCCCCTGTAACGTGCAGGCTGGCTCTCTGACATGTAGCCTACTTCTTCACCTAAATGGAATAGGCCATTAATGACGAGTGTAAGCTGTCCTTAGCCTGTTCTGAGAAGTGGAACGGTACAATGAGAGATACCTACACGATGCAAAATGTTATGTCTGAAGATAGAGATGAATCAACACATTTCTGAATTAACATTATGAGCAAAATGAAAATGTATGCAATATATGCAATTTAAAGCATTAAGATAATAGAAACAAACAACTGTCTCTTATGAAAAGCTTTAGTTGAGCAGAGAATGAAGTTGCGGCTGTGGCTCAGAGGTGGAGAGCCACCCGTCAATCAGAAGGTTGAACGTTGGATCCCTGGCGCCTCCAGCTCACGCTGGAAGACGTCGCACAAGTGTAATTCCATTTACCATTCAGCTTCCCTCCCTATGTGATCTAAGAGCACGTAACCATGGTTAGCCAAAGGCTGCCACTCAGCTTTACCCTCATGAAGCAGTTACAGCTGATGAAAGCGCCCTGACAGACGGCGTCGTTGTAGAAGCAACGTATCAACCATCACGTCCCCCTGAGGGACAGACTTTGAGCTCTGTCAGTACTTTCCCTTCTGTTTGCCTTGTTAGCACTGTTAGCCCTGTTAGCACCGCAAGCTGCAAGCCGCCAGCTCAGTCGTTCCCCTGTTGAGGACTATTAGGGTCCGGCAATTGAAAAGGAGAACACTGTTGTCTAAGATTGGAAATTCGATCCCCGAGCTCCGCTAATCCATCTGTCGGCTGTCCTTGGGAAAGACACTTAACCCCAACAGTGCTCCCGGTGCTGCAACTACGGTGTGTTAATGGTGTAAATATTAGTTAGTGATGGACAGGTGGCCCCGTCAGTGGTAGCTCCTGTCATCATTGTATAATGGATGTGAAAGGGTGAATGGTAACATGATGTGGTTGAAGACTAGAAAAGGGTTTTCCAAGTTCAGTCCATTTAGCATTTGCCTTCAGACCTTCAGGAGAGTTTAAATCTTACAAACACTGCAGCCAAAGACTTGTTACTTTGAGATTATTACCTGTCAGGGGAAAATGCTGTACTGTGTGCTAGCTTAGTGAAGAACAGAGCTAAAACATCCTGTCAAAAATTTTAGTATTAACTAAAAGTTAGTATTATTCGAATGGCTTGTAGGGCTCCTTGTCTCACATTGAGGCCCCATTAAGTGCACATTTGGGATATTTATTGTTTTCAAATTGTGACTTCTTAAACATATCGATGAATGTCTGGAGCGCGTTCACCAAAGCTGAGTGCAGCCATGTCCAATATGCACGCATGCACTCATGCATTCTCAAACACTCACACACTCATTACCTCTGGCAAGGCTTGGGGCACACTGGGCATGTTTCCTTTTAGTGTAACATGCTGTCCCTTTCTCTCATAGTTTGCTCAGAGTTGTGTGTGCGTGTGTGTTGGATTTTTGTGTTATTCTTATGAGCCAAGGGTCCCACCTTGACAGGTCTCTGTGTGTCCTTTGGGGAGGGTGGCAAGGCAAGAGCTATTTATAGATTAGGTACTCCAGAGAGAGAAAAGGGATTGTCTAATGAGGACAGGCTGTTAGGGGTGGGCCGTTGTTTCTGTGTGTGTGTGCGTGCGTGCGTGTTCTGGTTCTGTGTACACAGATGGTCCTTCATGTGTGTAGTGTGCATTAATTGAACAACTTCAAACACATTTCTAGTTCTGCCCCCCCGCACCACCACCTTCAAAGACAAGGATCTAAATTAGCTGATCTGGGTCAAAGATGGTGGATCAACACACACTACATGCATGCCAATGGTCTCATGTCTTTGCAATCTCAAACAGCCTGATTGTTGCTCCAGACAGAGCACCAGACAGTCTGCTCAGACGCAGCATCGCACTGTAATCAACAGATTCATAGCGCACGTAGGCTGTTTATACTGTACATGCTTCTGTCATTCTTGGCATGTACAATTTAAGTTCAACCTTTCGCACATTAGTTGCTCAGCACCGTGGATGTTGTATTGTCTAGATATCTGACAACCAGTTGATTGAGGAATACACTTTTCTTTATATTTCTATATCTATTTGGTCCTATTTGGCAACGTTAGGACAGACACAAATGAGGACAGATGGATCATGGGTGACTCCTACAGTCATTTCTGCAATCTGTCTGCTCTCGCTCACTGTCACTTACTCCGTGTTGCACCAGCACCACGTCCCTCTGCGAATGGTGTTGCTGTGTTATGAAAACGAATGGAATATTCCCATTATTAACGTTAGCCATTAGAGAGGCTGCACACAATACCGGAATGATGCTGA